GCGTGCCCATTTTGCGCAGGGGCCATACGAATCTCCCCCTACAGGATATCCTTAATGATATCACCCGGCCCCTAATTCCTCGCTTTCCCCGCACGCGCCCGACTTGATTTTCGTCCGGGTTCATTCACAGACCTCACATGGGTCCCTTCTGCGTAACTCTCCCCAGAAAATCTCCTCCGTATCCTGCCGGTTTCTGCAGAGGATCTGAGGGACCTCAATCGCAACCGGCCCTTTCTCTCTATTTCCTTGGCACACCCCTACCTCGGGTTGCGTCCGGGTTCATCCCCGGACTTTTATGAGTGCTCCTTGCACTGCTGTCACGCAGATCTTCCTACAGGGGGTCTTCGGCTGGCACCAGCCCCTAATGTCTACCTGCCTTGCCAACTTCCCCGCGCGGATTTGGCCTCCCTCTGAGGACAGATTCGGCGCGCCGTACGTCCTTTACCCTGCATCGAGCACTCCGGCCCTGCCCCCAGTTTTCACCCTTGCCTCGTTGGCACGTCGCGCCAATCCTCGGAGGGTCCGGTTGTCCACCGAGGGTCTGGCCTCTTCCCTCTTTTCCTGAGGATCTGGCCTTATTCCGAGGCCCGGTTCAACCACGACCTCAGCCACCACTTGGCCAGAAGGCTCAGGCGCAACCCACCTAACAAGACTGAGCCTCCCCTTTTTACAGGACTCAGGCGTGCGGGCCCAACGCGCGCTGCAAACCGTGGTAGCGGCAACGCTTGGGTCTGCCCCCGCTACCTTTGGTTCGCGCGTGCCACCCTTACGCATGGGCCATGCCAACCCCTTCTATGACGTTTCAACTTCTAACGGTGTCCCGACGGACACAGCCTGTGCCGCGGAGGCAAGCGGCTCCCAGGCAGTTCATGATGCACTCCTTGCCCACCAAGTTCCCTCATCTGGGTCCGAGCGCCGGCTTATTTCGTGGGCATACCCACCGCGGTTTCGTGCCCTCATACGGGCGTGAGGACAAATAGTAGTAACAAAAATTCGAAATAAAAAAATTATGCATATACATCCTCGCAAACATGCGGCAATCGGGCAGGAACCGCGGCCACCATAAATGTAAAAGGCGAGGGGGATAGTCCCACGGCCCATCAACCCCTCAAGCCTTTCACCGCTCCCGCACCGTTGTCCGCTGACCTCGTTCCCCCGTACCTCCGCCGCAATAGTCCAACGCCGTAACCGATAGGGCTAATCCCAAGCCTGGCATCAGCCGGCGCGGCCTCCCATACAAACGGTACCGCGCGGTGCCCCTGGCCAAAAGACCGCCTTGACCACCCCTTTTCAGCCCACATTGGTACCCACGGCCCCTAGGTGCCCACACCGGGCCACCGCCCCGCTGGCCATCCCATGTGCCTTCCGGCACACCAATCCTACGGTCGGTTGCGCGCGCCGACCAAAAACGGACTTTCGTCCCTTAACCAATCTCGTGGCCTAGTACGGGTCGGCCGGCTACCCCCGCCCCCCCACTCAATCAAAAAAAAAAAAATCACACGCGCGCCTTAAAATTGCGCGCCCACATACCTCCTACCAGGACAAGGCAGACCTTCGCCCGCGCGTTGACGACCCTCGCATTTTCCCGCACGGGCACTCCAAATCCAGGTTAACCGAGCCTTTCTGTCACTTGCAAAACCCAGGGTGGATACCCTTGTAAGGGTATTCACGCCGATAGTGCCGCCTCGGGGTCTTCCGCCTTTGCGCCCGCTTGCTCTCCTTCCTCCGCCGAGATCTCCCACTCCGACTCCTCCAACTCTAGGTCCTCCTCTTCGTCGTCTTGTTCTTGTTCTTCTTCTTCCTCACTTTGCTCCCCTTCGCTGTGTTCGCTGTAACTTCCCTCTTCAGAAGTTTCTTCCTCGTCGTCCTTCTCCTCCTCTTCTTTTTCCACAACCTGTATTGCCTCGTCTTCGGTGGCCGTTCGATCTCGGAAGTAGGTGGGATCGATGATCTCCCGCGGGCTCAGATAATCCCGTTGTGATGGCGGATTGCGGTCGTTCCCCGTCTCCTCTAGGCTCGCTGACCACTGAAGATACGGCGTCAAGGTCCGCGTGAGGACGTGCGGGAGCGGGCTCTCGTCACTTTGCGAGACGATCTCCAGGGGGAGATCGTCGGCCAGCTGCGCGAGTGGGACCGTAAGCTCTAGGGCGATTGGTTGTCGATGACTGGGCCGCACCGATTCAAACAGGAATCCGAGAAGATCGCCCTCCACGTCCATTCTCCAGGTCTGGATAATCAGCCACTCCAAGTACTCGCTCCACTTGCGATGGTCTTCGTCCCTTGTCCACGTGATTTGTACCCCGACCAGGCACACCGAAAGCTCGACGAAGTGCTCGCACCAAAGTCTCCACTGCCCAGGATCGAGAAGGGGGACTGCGAGCGGCTCCAAGCAAAAACAGAGACGAGGGTGGAGACTAGATTGCTAGAAGGTGGGAAAGAGAGATGGGATGGCAAAAATGGAGAGTTGGGAGTGGTTCATCGGGGAGGCTGGAAGGGGATGAGTTCTGCCAGCACCACCGCTGGCTCGTGCTGGAATGCTCGGATCCCTCCGAGCTCGACGCCGTCCGTGGGGAAAAGATTCTCCCCAGGGCGCGTAAGAGAGTGGTTCCACTCCGTGGCCAGTTGCTGCGCCCACTTCCTCAGTAACGTCTGGATGGCCGTATGCTGGAGCGCATTGACCGTGCTGATGTTGCCGCTGAAGCCGATGACCGTGGACACGTGGCTAATCCTCGGAGCTGATCGCCGATGGATAGCCACTGCTTCCGCTAATACTACCGCCTGAGAACTGCCCGCGAATCGGAACTCAGCCGCTGCATACACTCCCGTGGTGCAGAAGAACTGCGCCCGTCGTAGAAGATCCAGGTTGAGTCGTGGATGACACACCTGTCGAATCGCCGAGATGTAACCCCGTGGTGTTAAGAGATGGTCGTCGAGGGCTCGCTCCGTGAGAAAGCTCATGGCGATGGTGGCGGGGACGGAGGCTGGGAAAAGGCAGATGATGCAGGGGAGGAAGAAGGTGATGGTGGATCGTTGTCTTCTTCCGTGGCGAAGGAAGAGGATGAAGGTGCAGGCGACGGGGAGGAAGGGAGGGGACGCAGGTAAGACACGTGGCGAACGATCGGTCTCGCCGATCGGCTTCCGGAAACCTCAGGCGCGAGCCGCACGGTGTTCACTCCGTTCGGTCCAAGCTCGATCACGCAGAATCGCCCGAAGAATCGTGGCGCTACTAGCGGCGAGCACATTTCCTCACCTGCACGATGTCCCCCAATTTGTACTGGGGCTGTGGACCCGTGATCCCGTTCCGGGCTTCGTAGCTTCGGACCTGTTGGCCGTGGGCCAACTCGGTCATTTTCTGGCGTTTTCGGGCCAGCCTGGGGAGGGACCATTCCATTAGCTCTAAGTGCCGCTTGGCCTTGTCCCGAACCGTGGCCCTTGTGGGCCGTCGGTTCAGCGTTGATTCATCTGGGAGGCTCGGTATCGAAACGCAAGGGACGCTATTGGTCCTTAATTGGAAGGGGCTTAAGCCCGTTGATTTGTGGGGCGTCCCTCGGTGGACTGCCAGGATGTGATCGACGATATCGAGCCAGGGCCTCGGATCCCGAGCCGCGATGTTTCGTCGTAGCGCTGTCTTTATCACCCTATTGGCGTTTTCTACCAGCCCGTTGGATTGCGACATGTGGGGCGCGGTATTCCGCACAGTGACACCGTGTATGACCAGGTTCCTCAACACTTCCCCTCTGAATTCCCCCCCGTTATCGGTCAGGATCTCTTCTGTGTCCTGGTGCATCCCGAGAAAACGGTTAACATGCCGCACGATTTCGGCCGCTTGCCGCGTGCGACAGGGGTAGGCCTCGATCCATTTCGAAAAATGGTCGACAAATACCAACAGGAATGAATATTCACAGCTATTAGGACCAGGAGGTACCACGATATCGGTAGTATCCATGCTTACCCTTTGGAAAGGCCGTTCAACTATCGTTGGTACTATCGATCTTGGCGGCTAGATCGGTGCCTTGTCAGCAGCACAGACTTGGCAGTTCGCGACGATGAATTTAAGATCGTCACGAATATTGGACCAATACCACTCATTTTTATCGATTGTCGATTCCGTAATCCGTACGGCAAAATGGGCCGCCGTTTCTTCGTGTGCTATCTTTACCCAGTCATACCTCATGAACGGGTGTGGAACTACCATCCAAATCCCACTACCATCCGTTTTCCGTTTCTCCAATCGTCCCTCATTCCAGCGGTAATCCCGCGCCCTTTCATTGACCCTCCTCCGATCTTCCTTGGTGAAGTCCTGGAGGGAATTACCTACTAGAGTAGCAATAAAAGCGATATCCGTCCACACCTCGGCCCTTCTAAACTTTCGGGTTTTTTCCAACCCTTCTAACGAGGCGTCCAAAAAGCGAGCATCGGTCGGGATCTTGTCAACCCGACACAAGGGGCACAGTCATGGCTTGCTGCCGTTTCTGTATTGGATGCACGAGCCATGGGCTCGTCCGACACACTGTCGACAGTTTACCCAATCAATAGGACGCATGGAGACCGAATATACGCATGGAGACCGAATATACGCGAGAGATCGCTTCGCAAAAATAACAAAACTTATCAGGCAGGAAAAAAAAAGAGGAGGAGAGGGGAGAAAGAGGGGTTATGGGATTACCTCCGTCACCTATTGCCACCGGTCTGCTTTTTGCCACGTGGGAGAATTGCCACTTGTCCGTACTTAGGCCCGTTCGCCGGTTCTATTTCCTTCCACGGAGTGATTTCCTCGCCCTTAGGTACTTTAGCGGGTCGATGCAGATGTGTCAGTCCGTCCACGTTGCCGTGTCTCTCTGTCTTTCGATGGATGATATCGAAGTCATATTCCTGTAGGCGCACCGCCCAATGTCCAATCATGCCCGTGTAATTAGTGAGCCTCTTCAAAGCCAGTAGGGGCTCATGATCCGTCACGAGGCGGAACTTCTGTCCGTAAAGGTACGGATGGAAGTGTTGGATTCCCCAGACTACTGCATAGCATTCGCCTTGGGGTGTTGAGTCATTCCTCCATTCGTCTGACACTGTTCGTGACGCGTACTCGATGACGTGTTCGCGACCATCGTTTTTTTTTTGCGCTATGATGGCGGAGATCGCTTCGGGTTGCCAGTCCGTTATAAGAATAAATTGCTTGGTAGGGTCCGGCCAGATCAAAATTGGTGCGGTGGCTAGGGCCTCCTTGAGTGCGTCAAAGGCTTGCTCGCACTCAGAGTCCCACTGCAGAGGCTGGTCCTTCCGAAGCAGGTTCGTGAGAGGCCGAGCAATCGCCGCAAAACCTTTGATAAAATGGCGGTACTACGATGACAGGCCTAAGAAGGCTCGAACCTGTGTCAGCGACGTGGGAACTGGGGCTTCTTTTACGAGCGCAACTTTCCTTGAGTCCGGTCGCAGCCCTCCACGTGTCACTACGTACCCCAAGAACGAAATTTCCGAGAGTAAAAATTCGCTCTTCTCGAGTGCAATCTTGAATCCAGCATCTCTCAGAGCGCTTAATATCCACTCAATATGTTGCGCATGGCCGTGATAGGTCTCTGAATAAACCAAGATGTCGTCCATGTACACTATGACGCAGGAGTTAATCATCCCCCGCGTCAACCGTGTCTTGTTGACGAAGTTCTAGAACATCACGTTCATGGACCCGCTGAAACGTGGCAGGCGCGTTGCGAATTCCCATTGGACACCGAACCCACTGCCACGTGCCTTCGAACAACACGAAGGCCATTTTCGGCCGATCTTCCTCCTTAACCAGAATGTGATGGAAGCCATGCCGAATATCAAACTTGCTGAAATAATTAGCACATCCAATCGCATCCAGCAAATCATCAATCCGGGGGACGGGATACACATCTTTAATCGTGATGTCATTCGGTTTGCGATAATTTATGCATATGCGGATCGATCTGTTATTCTTCAGTACTAGTACAACTGGGAATGACCATGGTCTAGTGGCAGGTTCGATCCAACCGCTTGCCTCGAATTCCCGAATCAGTTCGAGAACCTTTTTTCGTTCTATCAGGGAGTACCGGTAGGGCTTGCAGTGAATTGGGGAATGATTCCCCGTTTGAATTTCGTGTTGTATGACCAACGATAAGCTGATGTCAGTGTCCGTTACGCTAATCGCTCCCTGATATTCTGTCAGAATGTCGGCAATCAAACGATGAATCTCATTAGGTACGTACTGCAAAACGTGCAATTCATAAATCTGATCCCGAATCCGTACGTCGATCTGCTTCGTGCGCGCTTGTTTCGTCGCCTCAGGTGGTGGCGCAGAGATAAATGAATGGTCCGATCGCCAGGAGAACACCGTGGCCATCATCTGGGCGTCTTTCTCCCGGATGGCCACGTGTCCTTCCGGGGTGATTCCATTGCAGATATCTTGCCACTGTACGGGTTTAGTCGCGATCTTCATTTCGAGCTCGTCTGATCCTGCCTCGAGACGCTCAGGGGGTTCCAAAGAACTGGCCTCCGCCTCTAGGCGTAGCAATTGTACTTTTTTGTGGGTGACAGCAGGTATCGTGGTAGGCCCGTGATGTCGCAAAAAGATCTCTTGTCATTGTATCGTGCAAGAAGAGGGGCTGTTCCTTCGTACAGGGTCCGGGGGGGTTCCAAAGAATCGACCATCAAGATCAGGTGGAGTCATGGGAGCCCGTGCCCGTGGGACAGGTTGATTAGGATTTTGTTGTTGATTTTGCTGCGGATTCGGATTTTTTGGATTGGCGTTCATGTTGGCTGCCCGTCGATTAGCCGATCTACTTCGAGTGATGACGGGGTCGCATCTATGCGTGTTCTGGGGTCGAGGTCGCCCTCGGTTAGCCAGATTGCTCAAATTAGCGTGTTGTTAGTCCTATAACCCGGCCACGTGTCGGGCTCCGATACCAACCTCATGCCCGGCGCGACTTCCTGATCGGAGTGGGGTGTGGGCCTGGAAGTGCGAAAAGGGGTGTGCCAAGGATTTTTGGGAAAGTGGGGGTGGAGTACCAGGTCAGAACTGAGATCTCCTGTGGCAGAGTTTTTCGGGGGCTTGGGTGCAATTTGGCAGAGAGGGCGGACCGCTTCCGGTTTTAAGGCCGATGGCTTGCGCAGGCCCTTCAAGGCCGCTCGATCCGTCTGTTTTGAGGACGGCGCTTCGTCGAAAGGTCCATTCGGGGTGGGTGTGATCCTGATGAGTCTGGTCGTCGGTTGTCCCCACGTGGCGCTGGTCGTCGCGCGTTCGGGTAGGGTCCTCGCGGTCCCGAGGCTCTCAAATTGCCATGTCGTCGGCAATTTTCGCAGGGCGTGCGGGGCCAGTGGGGGGCTATGGCGTTCCATGGGACGACCCTGAGTTGATGATACAGGAGAAGAAGATTGAAGGGAGGGAAGTTAGTGGAGATAACGACAAAAACGGGGGAAATAAAGTAGTGGGTATGGTCTGACGTGTGAAAATCAGAGCACTGGGGATCGCTGGTTGTAGCACAGTGAAACTCCCTAGGACATAGTCGGTTATCTGTTAGGCAGGGGAACCTCTGTCGGAGGCACTCTTCTATCCAAGGGGTGAAGTACTCCGGGTCCCACGACGAATCTGAGCTTCCGGAGCGTGTCACTATGTCATTGTAGAGCCGCGAAATTCCTAAGGGCGTGTCTTCATCGATTGCGATTACCACGTGTGAGTACGTGTAGGCCACGCGAGTCGAATCGCACTTACACGTGTTCACACAGGATGATTGCTTCGTTGCCGACGCAGGATGGCCACATCCAAGCAAGCTATATCCCCGCAATCGTTCGCCTTTTTATGAGTGGGTGGTTGTGAATCGTCGCGCGTGGACACGTGCAAGTGCGTAGATCGGATCGCACTTACGCGTATCCTTGCGTGGCGTTCGCTGGTTTCTGGGCAAACAGCTACCCGATCATCTAATCACTCCGTAATTTCTGAGCATGCAAGATGCAACAATCACAACAGCTCAATCAAGGGATAAACGAGAATGAAAATAGTATTGATGACTATGCAAAATTCGTACCCTACTCATGAGTGCATCAAGATGATAAGCAAAGGCAAAGATCAGGCGTAGGGAAAGCAACCGACATAACATCCATTCATTCAGCATAA